TATTTGGATCGAACAGAAGGCAGTGTGTATGCTTAAGGCCTGGAGAGTGCTACATGGATGACTGCATGCAGGCAACAGTGAAGCATGGTGAAGTTACTTGCAGGTTTGGGGCTGCATTTCTGCACATGGAGTAAGGGATGTGGTCAGAATTAATGGTTTCTAACTCTGAAAAGTGCAGGTAGATATTTTTGCATCATGCAATACCATCAGGGAGGTATCTGAAAAGTGAACTCATTCTGCAGAAGAACAACGACCCCAAACTTACAGCCAAAGTAATAAAGAACCATCTTCAGGAAAAAGAGGAACAAGGAGTCCTGGGAGAGGCGGTATGGCCCCTCACAAAGCCCTGATCTCAGCATGTTTGGGAATACATGAAGAGAGAGAAGCATATGAAACAGCCTAAAACCACAGAACTGTGTTTAGTTCTTCTAGATTTAATGTTTAATGTCGATAAATGCAAAGTTATGCACTTTGGGAGGAATAATAGGCAAATGGGTTATACAATTATGGGTATGCCGCTAGGGAAGTCGGAAATGGAGAAAGATTTGGGGGTCATTGTAGACCACAAACTAAATAATAGATTACAGTGCCAGGTTGCGGTAAGCAAAGCTAGTAGAGTCCTGTCCTGCATCAAGAAGGTAATGTTTTGCAGGGATAGGTCGATAATTTTGCCACTTTACACATCAATGGTTCGGCCCCACCTGGAGTATGCGGTGCAGTTTTGGGCACCGGTCCACAGAAAGGATGTCCTTGAACTGGAGAAAGTCCAGCGGAGGGCGACCAAACTCATAAAAGGGGATGGAGGACCAGAGCTATGAGACACGGCTACTAAATTTAAACATGTTTACGTTGGAAGTAAGGAGATTAAGGGGGGGCATGATTTGCATGTACAAAATGTTCCATAGTCATAGCAACATTAGCAACAAACTCTTTGAGATTAATTCCGTAACAAAGACTAGCGGACACCACATAAAACTGGTAGAAAAAAAATTTGACCACAAGGGGCGAAGTGGGTTCTTCTCAGTTCGCGTGGTTAGGGTCTGGAACTCACTGCCTCAAGCGGTAATTTCTGCAATTAATCTGGAATCATTCAAGAGGCTTTTGGACGACTTCCTGAGAGACCGAAATGTACAAGGGTACAGGTACTCTTAAGAATGAGAACACTCATGGACCTATACACACACACACACACACACACACACACACACACACACACAACAGGTTGGACTTGATGGACTTATGTCTTTATTCAACCTCAAATACTATGTTACTATGTTACTAAAATTTAAGGTAAGTCCGTACAGCAGGATTGGGAAGGGGGGAAAAAAGTTTGACTTTAATGTCACTTTAATGCTGGTTCTGACAGAAAGATGTATGAACAAACAGGTTGTTGGGAATGGGGCTGCGTAGCCGCAGACTGATCAGGGTGCCCATGCTGACCAATATCCAATGTGAAAAGCGCCTAAAATGGGCACATGAGCATTAAAACTGGACTTACACAGCAATGAAAGTAGGTGACCTGGTCTGATAGATCATGTGGATGGACAGGTGGGTGCGTGTGTCGCTTGCCTAGGGAAGAGACCCCAGGATGTCACCACACCAGGATGCACTATGGGAAGAGGGCAAGCCAGCAGTAGTAGTGTAAAGCTTTGGGCAATGTTCTGCTGGGAAGCCTCAGGTCCTGCCATTCATGTGGATTTTAGTTTGACACGTACCACCTATCAAAACATTGTTGCTGACCAAGTACACCCCTTCATGGAAACGGTATTGCTCGATTGCAGTGGCCTCTTTCAGAAGGTTAATGCACCCTGCTAAACAACAAAAATGGTTCAAAAACGCTTTGAGGAACCCTACAAGTTCAAGGTGATTGCTTGGCCTCCAGATTCTTCAGATCTTAATCCAATCGAGCATCTGTGGGATGTGCTGGAAAAACAAGTCAATCCATAGGAGGACCACCTCACAATTTACAGGATCTGTTACTAAGGACTTGGTGCCAGATACCACAGTATACCTTCAGCAGTCTAGTGGAGTCCATGCCTCGATGGATCAGGGCTGTTTTGGTGGCAAAAGGGGACCTACTCAATATTAGGTGGGTAGTCATATTATGGCTGATCAGAGTATATTACTTTTGTTTTAAACTAATTACTAGATATTATTATTTTTAATCCATCTTCTGTTTTTCTGTGCAACGGGATACAATCCTGTTTTGAGAGTTTCTAAGTTTTGGCACATTGCAAATATATTTACTTGGAGTTGGTATTGCGGAGATTATGGGGTACTGCACAGCAACACACTTTGTTATTTAATGCACTAGCACTTCCACGTACCAAGCTTAATACCTAATGAATTGATTTTATTATACAGTGTTAATGAATTGGTTAAACTTTCATGCAAAACTTATTATGAGCGGTGGATTTATATGACTCTGTAACTCTATATAATTCAGGTTATAAATGAAAAGATACTGAGACCAAGGACAATACTTATATTTGTTTCAGTCTAAAAATTGGCTGACTCTACAATGTATGAATGCATATTATTCTTTAATGCACAGTAACTAATGCAATTTGAAATGGGGGACACATTATATTTAAACTCCCATATAACCAATAACACAGCCTTTATCTATCAAGAGTAGTACATTATGGTGCACTTGCCATACCAATAAATGAAAATGAAAATTATACCTTGTAGGAAAGAAGAATGTATTTTCCCTGAAATACGGATGACATATGGCACTGCTATTGTGCAGGGACCATGGCATGGCATTTATAAATATGCAGAACTACTATGTGAAATTCAGCTCTTTATATACTGCATTACAATACAAGTCATTTCTGGAGATCACTCACAAGAAGTACTCAGAAATGGAACATGCATAATGGGAGCGCTATACTCCTGGTAAAGGACCACTTATAGTCCAAAATGCATATTGTGTATAATTAAAAGAACTTCTAACGTTCACAATTATGTGTATACAAGCTTCCATACCTCTACATAAAATGAGATATTTTAAATTTGTGTAACTCTGATGTGCAGTCTAGATGTCTGAAAAAAAATGATATTGTAGACAAAAGAAGGCAACAAAATGATGCTAGTTGTAGTTTTACTTCTGTGTATTACTAGACAGGAAGTCAGGTGCATTTTAAAATGCATTGTATCCCTCTAGTTCAAGAATTTAGGACATTGTTCTCACCTGAGAGGAACTGTTAACATATTTTTATACAGATTACAGCTTTTTTTTTTTTTGGAAGTAAACCGTTGAGAATGCTGGGGTTTTGCCATGATGTGCAAGCATGCACAGAACTCTTGCTGTGAAAGTATGCTGCATGCACAGTGCTCCAGTGTTGCCTGACCAATCTTCGATTCCCCGCTCTGTCCCCTGCTGCCGCCATCTCCGCTGCTGGCACTTAGGGGTTCTCTGGACACCCTCTTCAGCCATTGAGTGACCACTGATGATGTAACTCCTACGCACTGGCAGATGAGACTTTGCATATCTTTTCTGCTAAAGATTCCTGCCTCCAAGCAATGTTTTATTTTCCTGATTTTACTTTCACTTTAATATACACCAAAATCATGTAATTTGTGTTCAGTATCTATTTAAGAGGAAAGTCTATATCGGGAGGTCTCACAAATCAGCGCATTTGTCATGTGATCTCTGCTGAAGGGGAGGATTAGGATATTCCCCTTCAGCAGAAATCCTGTAAGCAAATGATTAGGCATTTGCTCACATGACTACCCACCATGAGATCCCAGAACAGTGTCTTCTCCGTGACAGGCAACAATTTAAGATTTTATTCCCAGCATATTTGAAGTTAAGACAGTAAGTTGACCAGGATGAATGGAGAAATCTGCCATCTCTCTGCTATTAAATGTATGTGTAAACCCTATGACTAAAATCTCATGTAAGATTTAACATGGTACTGTAATTTCTAAAAATATTTTTCAATTATTTTAAAGCTTTTGTTAAAAAAAATAAAAAAATAAAAAAAAATACCTGACCCCTGTATGACATGCCTAAATAAAGAACTGTCTCCCAACTGTGCTCCTGCATTGTCACACAAGCTTCCCATGGGGGCTACAAGTGCCCATTTCAATACACATTACATAGGAATGCCCCACTGTTGTCAACATCAAGAAAACCACACTGAGAAATGCCATTTAGTCATTAGTGGTGTCAAACCTGTGTTTATATGCATTTAGAGCTCATTTCTTAATGTATGTAATCTATTTTTAATGGTATCAGTCAGACTTTGCACTTACATCTGCATTCGGTTTAGAGGAAACAGAATTCATCGAGGTTACGATTACAAGCTCTCAACATGTGTAAACATGGCTTTAAAGCTGAACTCTAGGGAACATTTTTCTTAATCCTTGCAGTGCCCAACTTCAAGGGTTAAGAAAAAATGTCCCCTGCACTGCAAGGGTTAAGTGCTAGTTTTTTTTCTTGGTGCAAAAATAATGATATATTCCCCCAATCCTAGGAGACGGTTTGCTTTTAGACCGGTTCCTGGAGCCTCTCTAAGCGATCTAAGGCCCAATGCGTCATTACGTCCTATACACTGTGTAAAAGACTTGAGTATGTCGAGGGATATTTCATCGGTGGAGTAGAGTAGGAAACAGGCTGTGGGGGGGTGCTTTAAAAGCTGAGCCAGCTTTGAGGTTTAGGTGCCTATAACTTAATTTTTGCCCTTAGACCGAAATGAGCACGTAACCCTTGCAGTGCAGGGGTAGCCCCATTGCAAGGGTAAGGAACATTTTCCTCTGAATTCTGCTTTAAGACGGAACATCTAAATGCAGGAAAAAATTCATCCGGGAAGCATAAAAGTTGTTTACGCTTCCCAGATAATTATCTGCCAGTGTGAATGAAGCCTTGAAGTAATTTGGTTAGGGCTTACATATACATTAAGGACTGCTTTAACAATTAAAGTCACTTTATCTTGGGACAGTCCCATGAAAGCAGACGCTGCTGGAAAAGGAATGCACAAATATCCACTAACCTGAAGATCTTCAGCCTGTTCTTCAATGGTCTGCACTGCTCTTATAAGGTCCTCATCATGATCTGGTGAGCTGAAGTCATCATCAGGTGGGATCTATGAACAAAGAGAGAGGGCATCAAGTGATGGAAACTTAATTTATTCAGTCAAAAGCAAACCTAATGGGTCATTTGAGAAAAGAAAAAAAAAAGGTCTTCAGGGCATTTGGGATTTGTAGGCTGATTTAGGCTTTTTAAAATTTAAGTTACTTAAATTAGAAAATATATTGTGGAAAGAGAGTTTAAAAATGTTTGGAAATTGTACAGCAATCTGAAGGTTAAAATTGTGTCTTGCTGAGTAAGAATGTTCATTTTTCTACAGCCGTGACTGTGAATGTTAATCAAAAATACAGACGGTTCAGTGAAAACCATAATTTGCGTAGGGGAATTGAAAAGACCTGACCAAAAGCAGGAATGCCGGACCTAGAAATGAAACTGGGAGCCGGAGTAAAATTAATAGACTTTAACCTCTTCCCTGCTCCACTGGCATTTAGATTTTACATTAAAAGCTATTGTCAACCTTTCATCATTCTTTCTGTTCCACTGTGAAAACAGGACATTATGACACACATTATATATATAATGCTATTATGCCACATAAACTGTATCCGCTCACATTTACATCAAACATAAGCCAAAGGTCTATGAAATTAGTTTCTAAAAAGTATTGTCTATATGAGGAAATAAAACAACAAGTAAAGCTGCCCATACACCTGATGATTATCGTACGATAATCGCACGTGATCCCACGATCGTACTATATTCGCAAGGTGTATGGGCAGCGTGCAACCGCATTTACTGTACGGTAGCACGACTTTCGTATTACGAACACGCTAGGGTTGGTAGCACGATCGCAGGACGAAAGCCGCACGGGCCGAGGTCCGCTCACCATTGCAATCGTCAGTAAGCCCTCCCCTTAGCGGGGAGGACTTGCGTTGATCGCACGTACAATCTGCCTGTCCAGGATAATAACACTAAAGGGGTTATTTAGTAACTCTTTACCCAACTGGGAGTAGTGCGTTTACTTAAATACATCTTTACAAACCAAAATTAAATTTTTTGTAAGCTGGAATAACCAACTGACTTATTTTCTCAAATGATGCATCGCAGACAAGGTGTTTTTGTCTGTCCCAGTCGACTTTTGACAGAAAATAGTATGCAGTACTTTTGACAGAGAAACTATGGAGTACTAGAAAATGGAAAATGATCATCTGTAAACCAAGATCCATAAAAAAAAAATGTACAGTAAAAAAAAAATTGGAGGCTATAATATATGTCCTTAATTTTTTTTGCTGTTGCTTGATTAAAATGGAGAGACTAAAAAATGTTGGTGGCAACCAAATTTATGTAGTTGCTAACGAAATTCTTTGTTTACATTCTGCTGGATCCGAAGGCTACATTCTGCAGCTGGCAGGTGAATGTAAACGATGGGTAGTGGGCGTGTGCAATAGCTACAAACTAAGCACCGACCAGCGTCAAAAAAAGACCCTCCTGTACCCCAAAAACTCCCTGAAATGCAGTAAGGCTGCCCAGTTACAGAGGAGGGATCCTGAACACTGTGTAAAACATGAAGAAACACCGAGCGCCTGACCTGGTGCAATTAAACCTTTTAATGATTTAAAAACATATATACAGATAATACTCACAAAAGAAGCAAGGGTTAAGGCAACAATGGACTAATAGTCCTTAGGGATTTTTCTACTGTGGAAGTAGGAGACAAAAGCAGACAGTCCAGAAGCTCTGCTTGTCTGCAGAGACACGCTATCACTGCTGAACGTGTTTTCGGGGACACGCCCCCCTTCCTCAGAGCTTCTGGACTATCTTCTTTTGTCTCCTACTCACTTCCACAGTAGAAAAATAACTGAGGACTATTAGTCCATTGATGCCTTAACCCTTGCTTTTTTTGTGTGCAATAGCTAGTCTACTATTGGCTGTGGCAATTTGAAAAAGCCATGGCTAGTTTCCGCGGTCGGCAGCAGAACCTAAACAATGGGTTTCAATAGCCAGCCTGCTATAGGCTATTGCAAATTGCAATAGCCTATAGTAGTTTGGCTATTGCACCCGCCCACTGAGTAGAGGAGCGGACCGGAGAGAACTTTCTCTCTCAGGTCTGCTCCTCTGCTCAGTGGGCGGGGCTTCAATAGCCAGCCTGCTATTGGATATTGCAATTTGAAATAGCCAACAGCAGTCTGGCTATTTCTCACGTCGGCTGCGGAAGCTAGCTTGAGAGTTAATATAAACTCTCAAGCAACCAGAAACTACAGTAATCCAGCGACTACCGATGCATTTTTTTTGCCTTCTAATAATTGCGGACTGCCACTAATAGGCGCGGCCGCTGTCAGCCTGTCATTCACTTGGTCAGAGTGGGCGCATCTGTAAGAACATACCTGGGATTCCTTTCACCAGAATCTGTTTGCCAAATGAATCTGCAGCAGCAGCCTAAGGCCACGTGTAAATAAGGCCTAACTTTTCCACATTGCAAGAAGCTTTATGTATTGACTGTCACAGTTATAGACATTTTTATTCACATATGGTCTATATTATGTTTGAAGACCTAGCACGTGGCTTCTAATTCCAGTGGACTCCAGCAGGGTACAAGATGCGACATGAAGCTTAGTTCTAAATGTGATTTCACCTGTGCCAATGTATTGTTTGTTTGCATCTGAAAATCTAAATGGACCATACCATTTGAACTCTTACATAAAATGAAGCTTGTATGGGACATAGAGAAGCAGGGTATTTTATCTGACAACTGTCTGCTTCTCTGTGTCCCACAGACCAACAAGCTATTGTCAAGGTCACAATCAGGAAAAACAAAATAGATAAAACTAAGAAAACCAGCACATAAGCTGATCCTAACTGGCGATATCTTCTCTGAACAGAATTTACCTCTACATCCTAAATCACAGGTCTTGAAAATGAGACCATTCTGAATTTTGCATATGACCTTGTGAGTTCTCTACAAAGGATAGCTTGTGTAAACGATATGGATTAAGATTCATTTTACTAGACCATGGCTCTATTTCTTACAAACAAGTTAATTACGTTTACGGTTCTACCAATAAACATTGATGAGTATTTCAAGAGGTTCAATCCACATAATGCTTGTTATCTATTTCCTGAGTGGTAAACCTCCCACAGCACACAGCAATACATGTGACAGGCTGTCTATATTCAGATATTTCGGATGACATTCCTTTCCACAGTAAATACAAAAGAAAAGTTTCCATCCAGCCCTGCCCTGAATGGGGTTCCCTCTCGGTTTGAGAAATCCTTTGTTGTGAAAACAGATGCATGTGAAGAGGGAAAATCTATGATTATATACAGAAATGTGGTGGCATTGCAGACGGTGTTTCCTGTAACCTTTTCAGCTAGCCACAATGAATGGAAAATCAACATCATTAGGAGTCAGACATGGTGACTGCACACTCAACTACTAAGGTGACTGTGTTGCTGTCCATGGTGCTGAAATGCATAACACATCCTACCACAACCAGCCACAGACCATAGGTTCATTTCACATCGCTAATATACAAGATTGCAGTCACTGTTATGTAAACACTAGAGCTGCAGCTAACGATTATTTTCAAAATCGATTAGTTAGCCGATTATCCCCCCACTTTCTAGTTTAAAAGCTCCTCCAGTCTTTCTACCATTTTCCCTCCCAGGAATGCTGCACCTTTCCCATTAAGATGCAGCCCGTCTCGGCTGAAGAGCCAATAGCCGACTGCGAAGTCAGCCCAGTTCTCCAGGAAACCAAAACCTTCCTTCTGACACCAGCTCCGGAGCCACTTGTTAAGCTCCCTCGACTCGCGCTGTCTGTCCGGAGTGGCTCTTGGCACCGGCAGTATCTCTGCAGCCCTAGTAAACACTTTTATTTTTAGCTGCTACAGTCATCTGTACACCACCGTCTTTCCATTTATTCGGTTCCCTGTACTGAATTTGTTCTTCCCCCCCTAAATGTATATAATTGACTCCCGTACATGCTTCTTTTTCCCAGGTGACACCAGCGCTTTACAGCCTCATGCACACTAGCAGGTTGCGTTTAAGCCCAAATAGAAGTTATCTGGTAAGTATAAACAACTTTATGCTTGCCAGATCACTTTTTTCTGTGCCGGGCTTAGTCGCGTTTATACGCAGTTACACGCGTTTAGCTGCATAAAACTGGGCTAGTCGGACCCGGAATGCAGAAATTTCTATTTTGGGTAAACTGACCTAGACTAAAGGCACCTAGACGCTGCTGGACGCCTAGGTGTGCATTCAGTCATAGAAATGCAGTGCATGAGTCCAGGTGCGTTTAGCAATGAGCTCCAAGTGCACCTGAACTCAACGTTTTGGTACGTAGTGTGTATGAGGCCTGACAGATCGGCAGTGGTCACCCAGAGGTGATTGTGCCTACTATAAACTACTACTACATCTGAACAGTGTCATTCTTTAATTAGCATAGATCATGTTTATGATGTTCAGCCTCATTCTCACGATGCGAGAGGAGCAAGATCAGGAATGACCTTTTAAAAATTGTGATGCCTACATCTTAGTTATGTTCCCTGTTGACATTGCGCTGTGTGTGATGGAATATGTGGCTTCTTATGTAGAGACATGATTGATTTTGAAAGTGCACCCCTGGCTAAAGGGTGAACGAAACCCAAAGTTCATAGTCTAACATGTATGGAGGCAAGACTTGAACAAATAAATAGAACTTGGGTGGGAATTACTAAGACATATTTATGCAGTGATTGGGGTAAAGTGGAAATTTGGGGCACTAATCTGAGTTTTGTCGGGAGTCTTTATTCTGCTTTGTACAAATGAAGATCACCAGCACTTGATGACTACTTATAAATTCTTGTTTGTATTTATTTCCAAAAGGTATCTATGTCACCCTGATGAAGGAACCCTGGTGGCCCCGCAACATTGTTTTTTGCACGTGACACACTTCTACAAAAAAATACTAACAAGAATTTATAAGTATACATCGAGTGCTGGTGATCTTCATTTGTATTGCACGATGCCATCTGCAAGCACCACCATTATTGTATGATCCTAAACGCTGTAAGGAGTGCAGGGGATACATCTGGATATTGCCTTAATTCTGCTTTAGGCTGGGTTCACACCTAGGCGACAGTATTTTTTATGCATGTTTTTGTGCATTTCATGTGCATAAATCAAATTGTTTTTGTGAGCAGACTGTAGCTCATTTATGTTAATGAGCAAACATACGTAAAAATGTGCAACAACACAGCAAACGCGCGTTTTCAAGTGTTTCGTATTGAGTCTATGGGGCCAAAATGAGCTATAATAGAACAAAAAAAAAGCTCATGTACTTTTTCCAGCGGCGGTGTTTTGCTTATTGCCACAAAATGCTGAGATGTGAACTGGGCCGTATAAATGAATAGGATTTTGTTTAGGGAGTTTTTTTAGGGAAGAAAAAGCGCTACAAAACGCTCAGTGTAAAGGATTCTTATTTTATTTTTTAAAGTGACAGCTATTTTTTAGCAGAGTCCAAACAGATTTTTTAAAAATTGCAGTCAATCAGCTAAAATAAAGTCTCAAATCTTTACATTAAAGCTTTTTAAATTGTGCCCTAAACCCCAAAACTATCCTTACAGTCAAACTCTGGAGTTTGCTGTGTAAAAAACATATAAACATCTCAGTTTAAAAACATATAAAGTGCATTGCTAGTTGTAAAGTTAGTGAAAGATGTTGCAGATTTCCAGACATATGTTGCGTATTGAGAATCCTTTACATCACAGGCACTTATCACATTATTAAAATGAAATGTGTAAACGCCATGTCTGCAAATGTTTCGAGGACTTTTCTTTTTTTTTTCCAGATCTAGCAACTTTATGTCCAGCACGTTAACCACCACTCCATGACTAAGTACGTCTCAGTTTTGGGAGAAGTGACTATCTCAATGTTATTTTCGGCTCTGGTATCCACCGTGAAGTTTTGGGTGTTCTCACTTCTCCTGTATTCCATCATTACCATACAGCCCTTGTGTGCACTGTGGTTTTTAATGATGTGCTCCTCTTTTGATATAAAGTTGAAGAAATATAAGGTGTTATGCTGCAATTGAGAAGCAGTCTTGGGTAATTTTCAGTATAGAATCTAATATTTGAAATTGATTTGTTTTGATTTTTGTGGTTTTTACAGTCTAGTATACATGGATGTGGGTGTATTTCACATCATACAACAATTAGGAATCCAACAGGAAGAGTAAGATCCCTATCTAAAGTACTTGCAGATGTGCAGATCTGGGACTTCACAGTTAAAATCTCTACCAAAAAAAACATTTTTAGGTGCACAGCTGACCTACCAAAATGAAAAGATGCTGGAGATAGTTCTTAAAGAGGACCTTTACCCATATCTTTAAAATAACAGACACACCTTTAGAAATGCTTAGTAATGACAATCTACAATCACATACTTCTAGATAATTGCCAGCTTTGTATTCTTTGCATTCCTTATTTCTCTTTTGTTCCCCAGTCTTCTCACAATGTGTAGAACAACAGATCCCAGCAGGCCTCACAGCAGCAGTGGAGCAGAACAGACAGGGTTAAGTCCGTATCCTTTTGAATCCACAGACAGAGACCGGCCTCAGCGCAGCCTCTAGTTCACCAGTCAGCGAGGAAGAGAGCATGCAGCCTTCCCACCAACACTTACAAAGGTCCCGGGAGGAGCCGGCATGAGAGGGGAGGGAAGGGGGAGTACACAGGCTGTTGCTGAGCAACTAACCCCCTCCCCTCATGTGTCCTTTGTTCTGGAGAGGCTACAATGGAGAGAAGCAGCAGACATGTCCTGGCTTGTCTCGGTGCTCCTTTCTCCACACAGATTACTAGCTCTATTACTTTCTGGATTACTGGCACATGTGACTAGACATGCAACTAGGACATGTGACCATGCACATAATCTCAGGGGAGAAAAATGTACCCCATACGTCTTTAAAATGTAAATTCCTTGTAATCGGCTTACAATTATAAATAAACAGTGATTTTAATCAATGCAATTGTATTAATTTTATTATAAAATAAAAAATTATTTTAAGGAAGAACATTTTTTTAAAAAAGCTGCAGCATGACTTGTGCTAAACCATGTGCAAATGACCAGTATTTTACAGTATTTTTTTTTTTATTTATTTGTTTTATTAGTACAACGCAAAAATTGATGCTGTGTTATAATGATAAAACTACATTTTAGCGTATGGCAGTTTAGCATAAACAACAGCCAATTTAAAGCTGGTTGCTAACAGTTACTTTGTTCTGGCCGGTCTAATATTTATTTTAAAAAAAAGAAAATTTTAACTAGTGTGCTACCAAACACAAAAACTACATAAATATTAAATTTTACAGAAACTTCACAGACAGAAATGCATACTTAAAGTGTATGCACAGGCTACCCAAATTTACCGCCACTTCTCACTATCCCCCTCTAGAAAATTTTTCCCAGGATTGATTTTCCCCATTTACTCATTATTCCTTCTGACAAAAATCACCAGACTTATACAATTCTTGCAGGGGCAGCGGTTGCTATTCACATAGAAAATGTCTTCTAGAACTACATCTCCCAAGAGCCCTTTCGCTACACAAAGTATATGGTCAGGCTCTTTGGAGTCAAGAGAGCAGCATTTTTTGCTGCAAAAGAAATCAATGTGTGTGTGTGTGTGTGTGGAGAGGAGTGGGGATAGGTGGAATTCTGTAGTCTAGCAGCCAGGGCTGACAACGCTGGGAGGGATTTCTAAGAAGAAACATAAAAGAGTGGCGGCAGAAAAAGATCAAGTGGTTCATGAAATCTGCCTTCTAGTAGAAAAGGAACTATGTTGTCAGTCAAAACAGTAATTTAGGAGCTCACCGAGTTACTGGTCAATCAAATGGTATGTTTCTGTACTTGCAGCATTTTTGTTGAAGATATAAAACATGTGGAGATCTGCATGTACTGCAGAGATGTACTGAAATTGTGTTTTGTTTTTTTTTATTTTGCACTGACATATACTTTAAGCTTTTAAATATCTGTTGATTTATGAAAACTATGTAAAAACAATAATACACTTTTAAAAAAGAAAGACACGCCTTACCTCTTCATATTGGTAGCCATCTTCAGATCCCTCAGTAATAGTAATTTCTATGCTGGGATTAAGGAACTAAACCAAAAAAAAAACTTGTTTTTTTTACTTTTGCTTTTACAAAAGCATTCACAATACAGTTCATAAGTTTATATGGCAAACAAACATACGGTATATCTTTCATAATATGGTCAACAATATAGAAACTACCGATATGTTGTAGAGGAGATCTTAGTTTACAATAGTCAGGACAAAGGAAAGTGATTGTTCACAGTGACTGAGGAATTTCTGTACTTTGTCATTTGTCTTTTTTGTAACCATCTCAGTTGTCTATCCCATTCGAAACAGAACAATTTTTACAACTGCACTATGGCCCAATTGATTTGGTAGTGGCTTTGTCATTACATATGATACCAAAAGACATGTACCTAAAGACTTTCTTTTAGTGGCATTCCCTTCTAAGATTTTTTTTATTTTTCAAATACATTTCAAAAGCCGAAATAGGCTTATTTTTTGCCGTTTACAAACAACAAATGTTACCCTATATACAAATAAATATTGTATTCAGTGATTTGTTCCGTTTATCACAAATAAATATATTTCGTTTTTTGCTAACAAGATGCCACGAATATACCAAACATGCAGAGTATCAAAATGACGTGAAATGGCAAAAAGGTTATGGTACCCAGAATTGTCTATAGGCGACATTTTAAAAGAAAACTATGGCCAAATCTTTTTTGGCTTTAGTTCTCTTTTGGGTCACAGGGTTACCAATGTCCTCCTGTGACCCAAAATGCAACAGATAGGGGGGTACTGCCCGTTAAATGCTGACAGCGCACAGCCGCACTGCAGCCAGGAAGTATCCCGACAATATTGTCGGGATCCACCCTGTTACCTGGTTGACAGCTGGGGGCAGAGACAGACTGATTAGTTTATCACTCACTCCGCTGTCTTTTCCTTTCAGAATGTTCCCTGCCCACCTACACTATATTGCCAAAAGTATTGGGACACCCCTCCAAATCCTTGGATTCGGGTGTTTCAATCACCTCCATGGCCACAGGTATATAAAAGCAAGCACCTAGGCACACAGACTGCTTCTACAAACATTTGTGAAAGAATGGGTCGCTCTCAGGGGCTCAGTGAATTCAAGCGTGGTAACGTGATAGGTTGCCACCTGTGCAATAAGTCCACCCGTGAAATTTCCCTGCTACTAAATATTTTGTGGTCACCTGTTAGTGGTATTATAACAAAGTGGAAGCAACTGGGAACAACAGTAACTAAGCCATGAAATGGTAGGCCATGTAAAATGACTGAGCGGGGTCAGCGTATGCTGGAGCGCACAGTGCACAGAAGTTGCCAACTGCCTGTAGTATGGTGTGGGGTTGTTTTACATGGGTTGGGTTTGGCCCCTTAGTTCCAGTGAAGGTAACTCTTAAGGCATCAGCATACCAAGACATTTTGGACAATTTCATGCTCCCAACTTTGTGGGAACAGTTTGGGGAGGGCCCCTTCCTGTTCCAACATTACTGTGCACCAGTGCACAAAGCAAGGTCCATAAAGACATGGATGAGCGAGTGTGGGGTGGAGGAACTTGACTGGCCTGCACAGATTTCTGACCTCAACCCAATAGAACACCATTGGGATGAATTAGAGTGGAGACTGCGAGCCAGGCTTTCTCGTCCAACATCAGTACCTGACCTCACAAACACGCTTCTGGAAGAATAGTCAAACATTCCCATAGGCACACCCTTAAACCTTGAGGACAACCTTCCCAGAAGAGTTGAAGCTGTTATAGCTGCAAAGGGTGGGCCAACTCAATATTGAACCCTGCGGACTAAGACTGGGATGACATTAAAGTTCATGTGTGTGTAAAGGCAGGTGTCCCAATACTTTTGGCACCATCTCCCAACCACAAGGAGAAACAGACGAGGGGGCGGGCATGCGTGCGGCCGGAGGGGCGTGTCTGGCAGGGGGGCGGGAGGGAGCTGCCTCTCCGCTCTGATGTCATCCAGAGAGCAACAGCGTGCGGGTAGGTGGACGGGCGAGGGGGCGGGAGGGAGCTGCGGCCGGTCTTCACATGTGAAATTGAATTACATGTGCAGCTACCCCGAAGGTAAGACCTAGCGCTATCTTCAGGGATGTCTGTAATATAAGACCTACCACCGAACTAGGTCTTATTTTCGGGGTAGGTCTTACTTTCGGGGAAACACGGTACATAGAAACACAGAAGAAACATAGAAGAGTGGCAGCAGAAAAAAGATCAAATGGTCCATCAAAACCTGCCTTTTAGAGAAATCCATCCAGAGGAAGATGAAATCGCCTCTTAGACAGCGGTCTCCCTTCACCTCCTGGTTCCACTGACAAATGTAACATTTTGGTTTCCCATAAGTTTCAGTCCCAGTTATAAACAAATGATTAATTACTAAGGATACTTGGGCTGATGGTCATATGATTGTTGTGTGCTTTGTTTACAATCTTCCTACTTTCCAGTCTGTGTGGATGAAATCTCAGTAGATTTTAGAGGCAGCAATGGCAATAGGATTAGAAACTAGGACGTAAGCTCTTTGTACATGGCCTACGTATATATGGCTTCCCAAAAGTGCAACCCGCCAATGCAGCAGTGCCGTCCGTCCGTTTTTCTACTACGGGCGAACGGCAAGAGGTTAAAAAAAAAATTATGTTATACAATGGCACAAGCAACTCTGATATGTAATGTATGTATACATTGCTGAAATGGTTAAAGCCTATCTTTCAATACAAAAATAACCCTCCTGTTGCAGTGGGGCTATACTCCTGCACTGCAAGGTTTAACATCTCACTTTTGTCTAGGGAAATTCTTTAAAACAGTTTTACTTTCCTGATGATTGCTCCCCCAGCAGTCAGCACTCACCTCTCCCCCCTCTGCACCCCCCAGATGTGGACACTGTATTAGCTGTGATGACTTCAGCGGGCAGCGCGGTCCCCAGGGTGGAGGGGAAAGAGGCTGCAGGCGCGGTTCTTGGAGCCAGCGGGAGCGGAGGATCAGGTATGTAAAACTGTTTTAAAGAATCCCCCATAGACAAAAACAAAAAGTTAACCCTTGTAGTGCAGGAGTAGCCCCAATGCGCAGGTACAGTAGATGTTTTTGTATCCGGAGATAGACTTTAATTACTTACAATTAGAGGCTTTTTTAATGTGATCATAAAAGACAGAGCCAACATGTTTTTGTTTGCGTTTAGCAAGAAATTCCCATGCACACCTTGTTAATTTGCTCAATTAAAATTATTTAAGCATTACGTACAGTTCCGTCGATATTTAAAATTTTCACCATTTAAAAATTCAACTGAAAAATAAAAACTGCCATCTATTGAATCTTGATATTATGGAAAGAATTAACTATTTGGCGATAAAAGAAAATAATTATACAAAATTTAGAGCCTCAAAAGCAACTCAGGCAAATGTGTAATTTCTTCATTTTCAGCGTGATAATCTTCATGCTGAGATCATTTGAATGCTAGCAAGCGGACAACAAACAGCACTTACTGACTATAACAGCTAAATGAGCTCGCACTGTCTAGCACCTGTGCTTTACACGATGCAGATGGGAAAACTGTTGCTTATCACAATAATTCAGTAAATAGAGTAATAACATGTTTGAAATGGATAACACCGAGGATCCTGAAGAGCGTATCCTATAATCAGAATTCATTTTGTAATTACAACTATTCCGTGATGAATCGTCTTTATAAACGTAGAGGGTTTTGCTCTGTCCCCTTAACATTTGTATCCAAGAAGCATCTATTGATGCTTGTATGGACTTGGCAAGACTGTGTTTATAGAGAACATCGCTTACAATTGCTTTCTCACTGCGTCAAATAGAATTGCAATATGAAATGCTTGCCAAAGTACTCCAGGAAAACAGTCCTGTTCTCTTGTCCAACATCACACTGACTGCCTATGATTCTCTGGCAGGCAGGTCTGTGGATGATGTGTCACCTAGGGTTCTCCCATACACATAGTAATGAGCTTCAGTGTTATGGATGAAATGGAAGACACTCAGAGTTTGACTTAAAGGTAATGATATTTCAAAGAATCCTTCAGGATAGCCATGTAGATGGCTGGTTAAAACCTTTAATAGGAAACAGAAGTAGATACTTGTAAAAAAACCCTACCACAACCCTGTGAATGAATTTAAAGTACACTTCCGCCACCAAGGGCACGAGGGAAACAGAATAAATATCATGGCAAACAAAGAACTAGAGGAGTTACTGGCCACAGGGTGGGAACTAGGAATGCTGTCCTGGAAGAGTCCAAAAAAACACCATTAATGGTAAGTCTGGGAATTTCCCTAGTCATCTTCCATGACAGCTACTTGACAGGAAAGACGAATGTAAGCATACCTCAGTGTTCTGCTGCTTGCAGAACTTTCCTGCCAAAGGTCAAATCTTATTGAGAAAGCACCATCACTCTGTAATGCCTCATGATGGTGTTTTGACTTGACCATACCGCTGCTCATGGATTTGGTCTACCAGGGCATCTGATCTCTCTGCCCAGGAAGCCTTCAGTGACCAAATTCAGTGGGCTCACAATGCACCCGTAGTCTGTAGCCCTTCATTCAGGTATATAAATGAGAACTTAGAGGCCTGAAGCTCTTTTTTTGGCAACTAATCACTATTAAAAAGGTGGCTAGACCGAAATTATCTCATGATTTCTAGGTAACATAATAGACATCTACACACATCCAAACAATGGAATTCTTACCCCCTGGTATTCTTAGGATAGTCACAAATGGATGGCAATACTATCACCTGTAAATTATGAAAGGCCAATGTCATTTTAGGGAGGTACATTTGATTTGGCCTCTTTCGAGATCCAATTCTATCAAGGAGTACCGTCAGATAAGGCTCCCTTATAGACAACACCTTAGAAAGAGGCCACCACCTTTTCCAGAATGGTAGGTTTATCCTTACGGCGCCAGAAAGAAAACATTTCCAGATTCATGCATATACAGTCATGGCCAAAAATGTTGGCACCCCTGCATTTCTGTCATATAATGCACCACTTCGCGCAGAAAATTGTTGCAATTACAAAAGTTTTTAGAATTCTCAGGTTTATTTCTTTTGTTTACATTGGTATGACACAAAAAAAGTGGAGAAAAAAAAAAAGCCAAATCTGACACATTCCACGCAAAACTCCAAAAATGGACTGGACAACATTATTGGCACCTCCTCAAAATTCCAAAAAATAAATTGTATTCCAAGTTTTTGTGGAAAAGCATGGACAATCTCAAGGTTACAAGTCCATCTCCAAAGATCTTAATGTTCTTGAGTCCACTGTGCGCAACATTGACAAGAGGATTACAGCCCATGGCACTGTAGCTAATCTCCCTGGACATGGACGAAAGAGAACAATTGATCAATGATTGCAACAAAGGATAGTTGGAATGGTGGATAAAGACCCTCGATCAACTTCCAGACAAATTCAAGCTGACCTTCAGGCACAGGGTACAACTGTGTCAGCACGCACTATACATCACCATCTGAATGAACAGGGACGCCATGGTAGGAGACCCAGAAGGACCTCACTGCTGACACGAACATAAAAAAGCCAGATTGGAGTTTGCCAAAACTTAAATGAGGAAACCAAAATCCTTTTGGGAGAATGTGCTGTGGACAGACAAAACAAAATTACAGGTTTTTGGTAAAGCCCATCATTCTACTGTTTTCACAAAAAGAAATTAGGCTTTTAAAGAAAAAACTACAGTCCTTACAGTCAAACATGGTGCAGGTTCACTGATGTTTTGGGGTTGCTTTGTCGCTTCAGGCACTGAATGTCTTGACTGTTTGCAAGGCATTATGAAATCTGAAGACTATCAAAGAATTCTGAGGTGCAATGTAGGGCCCAGTGTCAGAAGGTTGGGTCTCTGTCCGAGGTCATGGGTCTTACAGCAGAACAATGACTGAAAGCACCCAGAAATGGTTTCAGACAAAGAGCTGGAGAGTACTGGACTGGCCAGCAATAAGTCCAGATCTGAATCCTATAGGAGCACCTGTGGAGAGATCTTAAAACAGTAGTTGGGAAATTACTTCCTCACCAAAGAAACCACAAAATGACTCATCCACTCGCTAGTTATATCTCATCTTGACTATTGTAACTCCCTCCTCATTGGCCTTCAACTACACAGGCTATCCCCCCTTCAGTCTATCATGAATGCAGCTGCTAGACTTATTCACCTAACCAACCATTCAGTGTCTGCAACCACGCTCTGTCAATCTCTCCACTGGCTTCCACTCGCCCCAAAGGATAAAATTCAAAATATTAACAAACACTTACAAAGCCATCCACAACTCCACCCCCGGCTATATCTCAAACCTGGTCTTCAAGTACAAGCCTAACCGTCCGCTCCGCTCATCCCAAGACCTCCTGCTTTCCAGCTCCCTTGTCAACTCCTCCCATGCTCGCCTCCAGGACTTCTCTAGAGTCTCTCCCATCCTCTGGAACGCTTTACCCTAACCTGTCCGTCTGTCTCCCACCTTGACTGCCTTTAGGCATTCCCTAAAGACTCATCTCTTCAGGGAAGCCTATCCCACCTCAACCTAACCGCTCAACCGTCACATTCTCAAACAATTCATCCCCACACAGCTACCTCCTCACTTGCCCCTCCCTTTTAGATTGTAAGCCCTCACAGGCAGGGCCCTCCTTACCATCTTGTTTTGAATTGTGATTGTAATGTCTTCCTTATATTGTAAAGCACTGCGCAGCTGTTGGCGCTATATAAATCCTGTATAATAATATGCAAGATGCAAGTTCAGACTTCCCTGGCTACATGCTCATTCCAGGTCCATGACTCACCGATGAAGTTGAGGCTAGGTTAACACCTAGGCAAGACAAGACACAGAGAGCGCCTCCATCGCATACAAACTTTTTAATAAACGAATAAAAGAAATGGTATAAAAGGTACTCGCAAAGGACGAATAAAAACAGGCATAAAAGGGTCAGAACGAAAGGTGCATATCCACCGGCTGTTCAGATGCCGAGCCGTTTGTGCGCGTTTGTCATGCGTTTTTAATCATGCGTCTGTTCATTGAAAACCGCGCAGTTTTCAATGCATATAGATGTCTATGAGGCCCAAACCGCGCAACAACAGCCCAAAAACCGCTCCTGCACCTTTGTCTGTGTGAGAAACTGCAAAGGTGTGAACAGACTCCATTGACTTTAATGTGAATCTGTGCAATATCGCGCAACCCAATCCGAACGATAAATCGCCTAGGTGTGAACCTAGCCTGAAAGGTCAGTTTACCATTTAAAAAAACAGGTCATTAAAGTGGAAGTTACAAAAATAAAAATTGCAGAGAACTTTCTTTTGCCAAATACTTCCTTTCTACACTGGACGGCACACGCGCAGAGCAATGTACGCATTCCCCTCATTCACAGCATATCTAAGATACCATGAATGAAACCGATGATGGAAACGATGCATAGGAATTACATTATCAGTGGCCACCCAATGGCAGAAGGAGATGCCTGGGAACCCGGAAGTGGTGGAGAGGTCGTGGTGAGGAACAAAGCAGGGGCTGAAAATCCATCCATCAGTGCTGGAGGAGGGCACCCTTGTAAGGTAAGTGTGCCTTAATGTGCAAGGTATGCTGTGCTAAAATCCACCATTCTCACAGTGGTTTATTACTGCTTTAATGGCAGTCATATTTCTGTACTGACAGGTTCCCTTTAAAGCAGAACTATAGTCTGCAAAATACTCACTTCTGCTCCAATGATGTGACATCTATTGCCCAGCTTCTTCCTAGTGCCTGGCCTTCGGTTGTCCTGATTGGCCAGGGGTGAATGGGCAAAGGGTTGGTTTGGTTGGGGGGGGTAAAGAGGAGATCAACGCAAATCACATGCATGCACCGGAGTCCTTCATTCCAGCACCAACAAATAATATTGTGAACAGGCAGGTAAGTGTTTCTTTTTTTCTTGCAGAAGAGTCATAGCATGTCCTTTCTGTAATACAGAACCTGAATACTTGCAGTCTTTTGTTTTTACGCTTTACCTCCGCTTTAAACAACAACAGGGAGGAATTTATCAAAAGTGGAGCAGTTGCTCATAGCAACCAGTTTCTTCAGATTGCTCAGTTAAGCTTTGAAAATGAAAGGTTGCCATGGGCAACTGCTCCAGATTCTGTCTTCTCCAGGTTCTATCACTTCCCCTCATTGTGAAATTTATATACAGTGCAGAAATCAAAGAATGGTATGTACCAGTAATAATGACTATGGTCATTTCCAAGCTAGACAACAATCCCAAGGACACATTTTGGAAGGCAATCAGTGACATCTGGTAAGTATGCTGTAATCAGAAGGTCCAGCAGCTTCCAGGTGTATGATCACTGCAATGTAAACATGCTGCCTTCCTTCCTGTACTCCATGATGCAGCATTACACCACACAACCCGATGACCTGGCAGAGGCCTCTTCCCAGATAGAACAGCAGAGGAGTCTGTTATAGTGAAGGGCAGGCAATGACAGTAGCTGTGTGGGCAGTAAGAAGCATCCCTGCCAGTCACATTCAGCCATATTCTCCCCGGTCCCTGCCACCCCCGTCTATCTTCCCCTTCAATATCAGCCTCCCCCGCCACCCATGTCCCGGTGCCCCCACAAACAGGGTAGGATACGTTCCAGATAGTAGTTGTCTCTGTCTCCTTCCATTGCTGCAGGTACACGAGTTACTGCGGTTGGAGTCTCTACGTTGCCAGGTAACCACTGCTGGTTGTAAAATCTCGCGAGACGTCTTCCCGGAAGACTAAAGCAGCAGGCTGTCTTCAGTAACCATGGCAACGGAGGACGCGTTCTATGAATGGAATGTTCGCATTGCAAAACAATTATCTGTTAGCAGCTGATAACGTTTTATCTTCAGTGACTTCAGCTGTTCTTTCCTTTTTCCCATCCGGCATTCTGCATTGTTATAGCTGTCATTAGTTTCTGATTCCTCTCAGCTTCAGATTTATAGCTGGATATTTTTATTAAAGGCAAAGCCCACCCAAAAATAAATAAATACACACTTCTTTATAAAAGAGAAAAGTGCATTTATTATTTTATTTATTTCTATATTTTGTGCATTGGATCCAGTAAAGAATTGCCAATGGCTGGCAAGTTCAATGCTCTGACTCCTTCAGACTCTTCCAGCCCTACAGGAATTCGGTAAAGCTGGCCATACTCCTATAGAATATCTGCAGATTTTCTATGGTCAGATGGAAAAAGTGCCACAGATTCCTCCATCTACGCCAAACTGTGTGGATGGAGGAATCTCCCGCTGGGCCAAGCTTCAGTATCCTGCCAGTCGGTCTTACTGGCTTTCAAAATATCTGAACAATCTGATTGGATGCAGGCATTGTTCAGGTATTGTGAGAGCCAGCGGCCGACTAGCAAGATACTGAAGCTTGGCCCAGAGGGAGATTCCTCCATCCACACAGTTTAGCATAGATGGAGGAATCTGTTGCACTTTTTCCATCTGACCATAGAAAATCTGCAGATAATCTATAGGTGTATGGCCAGCTTTAGAGGGACGGGAGGAAGCATCATTGAGAACTACAAGTCTCTCTGCCATGGTAACAGACAAGACTTGTATTCTCCATGCACAGATCCTGTCAAAAACATGCAATGCATTTGGGGTGCCATTTTTTTTCTTAATGGCACCTTAAATGTGGATGGAAAAATGTGCATTTTTACCATGTGTGGATGCGTAGGATGCTTGCAGCTGAAAATTCGGCATGAGCTACTTTCCCACGTTTGTCGCATATGTGCAACCCATTGATTCAATAGACTCACCTGCGGGAAAAACGCACAGGAACACATATGAATGCATGCAAAGTGCAATGCATGCAAAGTGTGAATAAGGTCTAAGGGCCTGTTCACATGAGATCAGGTCCTGATCAGGTCCTGATCAGCAGACGTGGAGCTGCTGATGCAGTGCGTTTTTGACGCATTTTTGATGCTTTTTCGGCCCGGATGCTGACAGTTCATTTTTTTTTAGCCAAGGGGCTGTCAGTATGCAGATTCAGCCTCTGAGGTCACTTCCGCCCTCTCGGAACATCTACTTCCCTTTGTGTATGTAAAGCTGGTGATCAGACATGTATCACATATTTGCAGGCATGTTAATGGTGCTGGCTACAGCAATCTGCAGAGAACGAGCCCGCAGGAGACATCGTTATTGGGTACACCCAATCTTGAGGCTCCGGGTCAGTTCTGGAGTTTGTATGAGGATTTGCGAGGTCACCCGGATACATGTTGTTCTCCTTTACTCGTATGTCCATGGCAAGGTAATGGGCATGTTCCAAATGTTTGCAGTTCATGTCGTTACCTCTACCCCAACCTGTCTGTCTATCGTTGATAACATCATAATAAGTGGAGCAAGAATACAATTTTTTTTTCCTTAGCTGCATTGCCTTGCGTATCCGTTCCGTTTTCGTTGCGTTTTGTGCGCGTTTGTGCGTTTCCGGACTGCTTCCGGACCAGACAAAATGTGACATGCAGTATTTTTTCTGTCGTAAGCTGAACGGACTGCGCACGTGAGAACTGTAGCCCATAAAACACATAGGTATACATTTGGATGCATTTTGAGTGCAGCAGCGTACGGATCTGGTCGCAACACAAAACGGACGTCGTGTGAACAGGCCCTTAAGCATGTTTATTTTTTTAATCTGTGTCTTATTAGGTATACGTTTTAAATTTCTTAGGGCTTGTTCACCTCATCGCCATTCAGTTGCGCTTTCTAAACCCACCAAAAATGCATGTACAGTGATTTGAATGCTTTTGAATGAGGCTAGGTCTCAGACATTATGAATCAGTAGATCCCTCCATTAATTGCCCAGAAAATGACTGGGAATGGGAAAATGAGTATATCAAACGGGTAAGTACATTATAGTATTACAGACCATGTTGTTCAGTTCCAGAGCTTTCAAAAATGTACAGCAGCATGCTTTTTTTTTGTACTGCAATCAGTGGCGGAACTACCGAGGTCACGGCCGCGACCAGGCCCTGGAGTTCCGCCACTTGGAGGGGGCCCAGGACAGGAGGAAGGGGCCCCTGGTGACCGCTGATTACCAGGATATTTATGATCCCGGTAACCGCTAATGTCAGTCCCGGGACCTCTTCCTCCTGTCCTGGGCCCTACATGCTTTACGCTGCTCCCCACACCTTGTTCCGGGTGCAGCGTGAAGTATCATCCAGCCGGGCAGCAGCCAATGAGTGGGAGTGGTGTAATCACCGCCCCCTCATCACACAGAACTGCTGCCCAGTGCCGAATAGAGCTGCTGCGGACACGAAGGTGACATGGGGTCCGGGAGCGGAAAGCTGGGGACATGAAGGGGAGATAATGGGGAGCTCGGGGCATGAAAGAGGAGAGCGTTTTTGTTTTCCCTTGTCTAAATTTTGTTTGAAAAAAAAAAATCTAATGTGTTTCATCTTGGGGGGGGGGGCTTTCATGGATTCTTGCTTCGGGGCCCTGAGGTCACTAGTTACGCCACTGACTGCAATGTGCCTGAATGCATTTAAATGCACCAGAACACACTTAACACATAAAAAAACAATTGTTTTCTATGTGCCCTTGCAGTGCATGGTATCGATCCAATGCAAAAAAAAACTGCAATTTGTGTACATGAGCCCCTGGACAGCTGCTACAGGAACAATTGCCGCCATTGGATTGGATTTCCCTGCTATTCCCTTTCTGGTGGGAGCTCAACATGTTTGGCTCTACCCTTAAGGTGCCCATACACTGCACGATTCTCGTACGAGAATCGCGGTAAATCCCGCGATCCTACGATAATCGTGCAGAAGTCTTGCGAGGGTTGTAAAGTGTATGGCCACCTTTATTTCCATTTCTGCTTCCAATAGTGATCAGGACCATTAGCCCTCATTCACACGAGTACCATCTGGCCTGTACAGATCTGTGCGGCATGCACAGCCGTTATCGGGCAGCTCCCGGGAAGGACAGGTGCTGCGTGTGATTTGTACGCAGCAACCTGTTCTTCTCTATGGGAGTACGCAGCAATACGCTGCCCTACGCTCACCCGAACTGCACGTCCGTGCGGGTGTCCGCACTCGTACGCTGACAGGATGGATCCTGTCTGCGTCCGAGCAGGGATACCTGAACCCGTACGGACATATGCGGCGTACAGCCGCATACTCCCATAGAGAAAAACAGGCTGATGCGTACAAATCACATGCAGCACCTGTCCTTACTGGGAGCTGCCCGATACGGCTGTGCATGCAGCACAGATCTGTATGAGATGGCTGTTACTCGTGTAAATGAGGGCTTAGAGAAAATCTCCCTAATGGGGAGACAGACGGCAATAAAACTTGACAGAGGCTGTAACCCCTCACCACTCAATCAAAAAAAAAGAGTTTGCATTTAGTTATACTTTAATAAAAGAATTGACATCCTAAGAATATAATGTATATGGTAACTACGTTCATGAGTAAGATCTGCATAACTCTGTGAGGGATGCTGTCAAACGGTTATATTATCAGGGCACTGCTGGCAGTGTTATAGTTTGTCTTAACTACTGTCATTGTCACTTGCTGAACATGAAAGGAAATGTAAACTCTGTTGCCTAGTGCTTGTAAATCGCAGTGCCAGTTGATGTATGCACCTTGTCGAGGTGTTGCCTGACTTTGCCAACATAGGGAACAATAGTCATGGTACACATGTAAATAAGGCTGGGAGGGATTTAAAAAGGATAAGTCGTGGTTTAGGTACCCAACCTGTGGTGTGGGACACTTGGGTCCTGAAGGACAAAAAGATGAGTCCCTCTGGTTATGAAATGGTTATTTGATGGGTGTTTGACATTTTTATTGATGGAAGCACATAAATGCTATGAGTCTATTCACATATGTGCAGTGCATTAATGCTTGGCTGTTATGTCACACGTTAAAGTGACACTAAACTCAGGAGTTATCCAAGCCTGCAGCCAAACTATTGTCATTCTTTTTAGATGTGAAAATCTCCTTGGCACAGGCTTGGAAAACCCAGACAGTTCCGTTCAAACATGTAGTCTCTAAATTGTCATGGATAATGGTACACGAAAAATTGAGTAGCATCCTCGGAGACACCCAAAGTAAATTTGAGCAGGTGTGGGAACCTTGGATGCAGTATCTCCACATTTCTGAATCTCTTTAGCCAAAGGCCAGTGTCGCAAAAGGGATCCCCACTGCTGGGTCTCGGATTCCCCCCTGATATTTCTTCTATTTCTTCTTCACCCCTCTATTTTCACCCTTCCCCCTTCCTTGACCTCTTAATATTGTGTCTTTTTTATTGTTTTGTTTTTTTGTCTGTTTTTTGTTGCACCCAATGTGTGACTTGTACCGTTGTTTTATTTCTTTTTGATGAGCATCGAATGCACCTGACATACTGTAAGCAATATTGCTATAAGCTCGTCTAACTTGAATGTTTGGTGAATATGATTATCCTTCAAGATGCTATGTTTATTTTGTTTTGTTGTTTTACCTAAAAACCCTAATAAAAGAAACTTGTGAGTTAAACTCAGGAGTTAAATCTTAAAAATGTATTCAAGTACCCTAACTATTAACAAAAATGTATCTTATTTTTGTATCACTCGGCTGTAGATCCTCAAATCATCTCTGAATTGGTGCTGACACTGTCCTTCCTTCTGGAGTTTGACTTTTTGTTCCCCATGGTCCCAGTGTCTGTTGTAAAGTAATCACCTCTCCAAGCTTGCTCCCGTGTGTGTATGGTGTTTGTAAAGTGTGTTGTGTTCA